GGGGTCAGAAGCTGTCCCTTTGTTCTTTGTTGTTGGCTATTTGTTTTTAAAAACTTCTCCCAAAGTGTCTAGGAAATTATCACCTTTACACATTGTGGGTACTGATTTGTTGTTGTTGTTGTTTTTTTTTTTTTTTGTATAATGCTAAAGGAGTTTCTCATTTGTGGGGTTACAGGAGATAGACTTCTTAAAATTAAGATACTAATGGAATTGACTTACTAAAAATAATAAATGTAATAATGAGTGGTTAAAAAATTGGCTTTCCTAGATAGAGTCTCTATGTGAGTTGTATGGCAGAAAGAAAGTATATGAACCTGATAGTGAAATTAAATCAGCATTCAGAATTACTAAGGCCTTCTGGGATTGGTCTTTAGATGGGTTAGGTCAGGAATATTTCTGTGAGTGGGACTCTTTGGGCTGTGAGGAAGAGGAGAGGGCTTTGGACACACAACAAAGGAGTGGATATAGAGACCAGCAAAGGAGAACTGAATAACCTGAAAATTTGGGCTGAAGGTGCAAACTAGGAAACCTGCAGTAAAGAGCCTGATTCATTAATCAGTTAATCTGCATCTCCGTAGCATAAGTAACAAGACTACCTATAGATATGGTATGGGGCTGAAAATGTAGTCCTGAGGAAAGCAAAACAGGCCTTCAAAATGGAGCTTTTACAGGATTCTCTGAGTGGTAGTACTGGAAAGCATTTAGCTGCAAACAATTTGTTGAGCATATTTTCTAATAGTTTTTATACACACAGCCTTTAGGTGAAGATTTTATGTAACCAAGAGTATCAGCTGCATTAACAACAGTGATAATTCCTTGATAGGAATTTTAGGTTTGTGCTTTCTCATTAAAATGTTTCTACTCCATGATCACTTCTATGCATCAGTGTGATTAATAGTCAGGAATCCTTCGTTCTGTTGACTGTACCTTATATTTGCTAAATGATCTCGTCCAAGCCATTCGGCGTTTTCTTGTTTTATGCTTTTCTTTAAGAGGAGAGCAGTGCCTCACAGGCCAGTTAAAAATTAATACCTCTAACATAATTTGTGCTTTTATATGTAATTTCTAACAGTATCAATAGCTACTTTGCTGTCATTATTCTGGTGTTATCTTGATGTGTCAGAAGTTTTCAACTTGTGAGTTAAATCATTTGAGTCTGTGGGTAATTGTAGGCTTTTCCAATTTAAAAACATAGGCTTACATACCAGCAATACGTGGGAATAGTCATTTTTCACCTTGTGTCTCTCCTACCACACACATATTTCTAAATTGCCCTCTCCTGTTGAACTGTAGCGGTGACTCTGTATCACTCCTCTGGCAATTAGTCATTATTCTATGGAATCATAGATTTAAAACTGAAAAGGGGCCTTGGAAGTCATCAAGTCCACCCCTACTCTCTCTCCCCACCCCAAACCCCCAATTTTAAATATGACTAAAGCCCGTAGAGGATCTGTGTTACCAGAGGAAAGTCACTTATCATCTCGGGACCTCACTTTCCTGTCTTTAAAAATCTAGTGTGAACGCGATGGCTTCTGAGGTTCTTTCCAGCTTTATATCTAGTGTCCTATGATTCTTTTGTTTGCTGGCAGAGGTAGATTTCAAACCAGGTTCTCAGACTTCAAATCCAGAACTCTTTCCACTGTACAATACTGCCTCTCAAACAGCTCTTTTATATTGTGTTGAAATGTTATTTAAATCTTGTATTTTTAAAAAAATCTTTTAATTTTGTGTCTCTTGTTTTCTTGAATAGATTGTAAGCTCTGTAAGGGCAGAAACCTTATCTTATTTATCTTTGTATTCTCACTCTCATAATTCAATAGCACCTAGCACAGGGACTTGCATGCAGTAAGGTACTCACTAAATATTGTTTTGACTTAATTTTTTTCCCAATCTTAACATGCTACTTTCCATCCTCCAAATTAGATCCATTCATTTGTTTACAAGATGCCTAGAATAAAAAACATAGTATGTTAGAACTCAAGTGGTAATAGAAAATAATTTATTTTCACATCCATGATAATATTAGAAATTCTGAGGTATTAAAAGCTGAAAATTTAAGTTAGTTGACCTTTATTCTATCTTATACCGTAATACTTTTAATAAAGAGAGTTCAAAATACTTGACACATTTTATTTGTCCTTAAAACATCCCTGTGTGTAAACAGAAAGTGAGCAGAAAGTAACACTTAGGGCTCATAAATAATTAAGGAAATCCATACAATTGATCTGTGATAGAAAAAAATTTGATTTCTGTATTCCTCATTGGAGACTGAGGAACCCAGGTGATTGGGTCAAGTGAGTAAACTTCCCTTCCTTGGCATTAGGAAAAGTGCCTTAACTCTTAGGCTCTTAGGGAACAATTTACTATACAGTACTTTAAAAGTGCATTCTGAGCTACTCTATGACTTTATTCTTATAATATCCTATTAAGAAAAAGATAGAGCTCATGTCACTTCAGCATTTTATTGTATCTGTGAGGATACTTCCTCTACCAGGATAGATCTTAACCCTTTCAGCTCTTCTTACATGTGTTTCTTTTGCATATCCTCCCCTAAGTCCTCCAAAGAGGTCAGCCAACATGTTGGAGACCTTCCAAGGATGTAATCATAGTAATAAAGTACCCAGGCCATCCGTCTCTTATCTATTGTTCTTTCCAGATGAGTGACGTATTTCATTCTCCAGTTTTGCTGTCCCTGGATGATGTCTTTTATATAGTTTCTTGCGCATAAATCAGTATTAAAATACTTAAGCATTTCTGTGATCTCATCATTGACCTTAATCCCTCCAAGTAATGGTATAGATTGCTACCCATCTACCTCTCTTCCTGCTCAGTTCTTCCCTATACCTTGCTATGAAAGTTTTGCAGGGGAACCACTCTAGCAAAGTCCTGAGAGACTTTCCTCTGGATCTGTATTATGACATATATGCAGGTGGAGCATATGGGTTGTCTATGTTTTGGCTATCCCTTTCTTTCATTACTGCTCTGAACACGCCCTCTTCTTTTTTCATCATACATTTCTCTGGTATCCTTTATTTCACTTCTTCTGCACAGTTCTTTCCTTATATGTGCAGTTGCATTTGGGGACCTATAACCATCTTTTTTTTTTTTTTTTTTCAACTCATGAGCAAAGATGAATGTTATAAAAACCCCAGTGAGTTCCCTTGAAATTTCCCTGCATAATATAGTTTATAGTTTCCTGAGAAGTCTTTTATTGCTAGGAAATTTCTATTGTCTTATTTGAAAAACATCTTAATTTAGTTTTATTAAGTAAAAGCTTGCTTTAAAGGGCAGAATACTGTAGTTACATTACTGCACATGACATGGCCACCAATGTAATTTATAATTAAAGTCTGTATTAGGATTATGACCCATTAAAGGAATCTTGGTAACTGGGTTGTTGCTGGTGGGAAATCCTTTTCTGGTAGTTAACAAACTCATTTTGGTTCTGTAGCTCAAAAACTGCCTGTTGTAATGTGGTATCCAGCCCTCTTATGTGCTCTGTCCCTACTGCTGGTTATCTCAATTTCTCTGTTTCTTTATTCTTCTGTTTCTTGCCTCCTTCCAGACCTGGGCCTCACATGCTCTTGGGGTTTTATATTCCATGGTATTTTGACCCACTAAAATCAATTCACAATCCACAGAATGAAAGTATAATACATGGGTAGTACTGACTATGGATGGATTAGTAGGTTTTTGGATTTTAATTGCAAATAGTTGTAGATAGGTGACATGTATAAAACAAAATAAGTTTAAAAAAACCTAGGCTTTATAAATACTTAAAACCATATAAAATCACCAATAGTGATTCATAATCGGTTTCAGAGATCCAAAGATTATTTTAACCTATAGTCAGTAGTATCTGTGTCTGCTTTCAAAAGAATAGTGGTGTTGTCCTTTGTATTTTAGCCAGTTTATTATTATTATTGTTCAAAAGGCACACAATTGGGCTGTGTATACTGTAACTCTTACCAACTAGTTGGACTTTGTGGATTTGGAAAACTGGGAACTCATCCCTTTTTAGGAAATACTGTTTCATTTCTTAGGTTCTATAATGGCAAGTTTCTATAGAAAGTTTTCATATTGGTAGTGAATTATCACACATTAGATGGCAAATTAAAATATGCCCAGAAGACACTGGCATTCTGAGCAGATAATAGCACCACTTTGTATGACTGATAAACTCATTTGAAGAGAGTAGGCAGTCTTATGTTTGATATTATTCTAAATGGTCTTTTAGCCCTGATTCCCTTCACCCTTGAAATTAAAGGAAACACTTTTCTCCCTCCCCCCAGTAGAATGTAAGCTCTTTGAGAGCAAGGGACTTGTGGGGTTTGGGTTTTTCCTGTTTTTGTTTTTTGTTTTTTTCAATTTTTGGTATTTGTACCCCCAATGCCTACCACAGTGCCTGGCACAGATTGAGGGCATTGCAAATGTTTGTTGAATTGAATTTTTTCAAATTCAGTAGCACGTTGCTACTTTCTCCCTCTGAAATGCATCTCCAGTTTTACAATTAGAAAAATGTAATTGCTTTCTTTTTCTATTAATTGACGTGGTTTTTTGTTCTTAGATCATTCTTGGCTTTTCATTTTAATGAGCTCAGAAATAAGCCTTTATGTTCAGCTTTGTAATCTTTTGTCCTTTGTTAGAAAAGAACAGCTCAGCAGTCTGAACATCTCACAAAGTGAACCTTCATCTTGTTGTAACAGAATTGTGTTCTAAAATATTGATGACAAAAGTATAAAATTATGGAGAAGCTACACAAGAGAACTCAGTCCCTGCCCTTTAAAGGGTTATTTTCCCCCTTTTATTTCAGTGATTCTGAGCTCCTAATCACTTAAAATCCCAACCAATTTTATCCTGTGAAAGGGCAACCCATAGTAAGAGCTTAATACCCAAAAAAGAAAAAAAAATCCCTGCCCACCAAAGAAGGACATATGTTTCTAACATCAGCTTTTTATTTTTTTTTTTTATCTTTCATTTTTTGTTGGTAAATCTCCCAGACAACAACAGTTCTGTAGAGAGTTTAAATATGAAGGAATGGCAGGACGGGCTAAGGGCACTTCTACCCAACATTAACATCAACTTTGGTGGACTGCCCAATGCTTCTTCCCCCTCCAACGCCAACCACAGTGCACCAACGTCCAACACTGCCACCACCGACAGCCTGAATTGGGACAGCCCTGGCAGCTGGATGGACCCCGCCATCATCACAGGTAAACTCTCTTGCTCCTTCAGCTCCACTGACTACCATCATGCTGGTATTTAGCACAAGTTAAATCAGCAGCTGAAAACTTGAGTCATTATGCAGTGGTTTCTTCAACATAGTCTTCCTTTCACAAAGCTGCAAGCGCCGCGCGGCCTTGTGGAATCTATAAATGTTGTGCGTAGTTGGCTTATTAGGGCTTTCTTTGTGTACCTAATACTTTTCATAAGGCAAAGTGCCTAGTACACTTCTATAGGTCCAAGTAGATGTTACTTCTGACAATACGTGTGTAAAATAAAGGCACCAAATGGGCTGACTTGTTCTATTTTAAAAGGGACATACTCCACTTGTTTATAAAGCTCTCTTTTATAAGGCTGTTCTATTTACTTATCTATCCCTGTTAGAAAGGGAAGAGTACTATTGAGAATTATCTCCATAAAATTACTGGAAATCAGTTCTGTCCCTCTGTCTTCACAGAAGAGCAGGGACTTAGGCCGCCTGTATTTGGAAGAGAAGGCATGGGCTTTTTAGACCAATGTGGGTATCCTCAAAAAAGCCTTGGTTATAGGGGAGGGGGACGCAAAAGGTTTTAAGGTTGTTTGGGGAAGGAGAGTATGGTTTAATGTGAGTGTATACTTACTTGTATAAACTAATCACATTTTCTGCTTGTTAGGTTAGCTTCATGTTTCTGCGTAAATTCAACAATTCTTTCCCTTTTTCTTTTCTTGTCAGGTATCCCAGCATCAACGGGAAATAATTTAGACTCTCTTCAAGATGACAATCCTCCACACTGGCTAAAATCCCTTCAGGCCCTCACAGAGATGGACGGCCCCAGTGCTGCTCCTTCACAAACCCACCACAGTAACCCCTTCAACACACAGATCCCTCTGCACAGAGCCAGCTGGAATCCTTATTCACCCCCTTCAAATCCCACCAGTTTCCATTCCCCGCCCCCAGGCTTTCAGACCGCCTTCAGACCACCCAGCAAAACCCCGACAGATTTACTACAGAGTTCGGCACTGGACCGCCATTAGGGAAGGAGAAAAAAACCATTAGAAATGCAGGAATTGTCCCGCCCTGTCTCCTCCCTCTCAACTTACCCACAGTACCCTTCTCATAACTTTCTTTCTGAAGAATCCAGTTCCTGATCAACTCTTTTTTCCCTTTCCTCCCACCCCCAGATGCAATGCGATCACAGGGTCATTACCATCTTTTTTGTCATAAGAGTTTTTGCTGATCCAGTGTTTAACCAACACTGTTGATTATTTCCTAAAATGCCTTTTAAAGAGAAAAGAGAGAGAGAGAGAGATTGAGAGATTGATTGAGATTAAAGGGCGGTCTCAATACTTAGAAAATTACTGTTTGTCTTTTGCACAAAATAATGACATTTTCTGCAGAAAATGACTATTAATCTATAGGGAAGGTCATGTAAATGAGTAAATGCAGAATCAACCGCAGTTTCAAAACCAAATTAATTTAAATGAGATTGCTGAATATATGGTGGGAACAGTGGTCTAAGGCATCTGTCTTATATTCAGCATATCACTATGCAGGGAAAATGCTTCTTTTATTTAATTTTAATTTTTTTGCAAATTGTCAGCGGGGACTTAATTGTGTCTTTAAGCACTAGAGTTGACATGGAAGTTGATGGAAAGACAAATTGATCTGTAGCAGTAACTGGCCTGTCACTCAAGAGTTCATAAAGACAGGGGGACATGAGATTTAAACAATTTTGGCTTTAAAGTTTAAAAAAAAGTTGTTTTTTTTTTAAGTATTCAATTTAATACCTAGCATATAAACAATATAATTATAAGCAGCTGAAATACAAGTAATATTTTTTTAGTCTTTCTGTCTCCTCTATCAGTCTCTCTCTTTTTTTCTTTCTTTTTTTTTTAAAGTTAAATTCACCTGACTAGGGCACTCTGGGATAGCACTGCATTGGGGCCATATGATCACCATCAGGAGCAAAACCTTTGACCTCCTCTGCCTGCAGCTTTTACTTAACCCTGTAGTTTCTGGACATTTGTGCAGTATTGAAAAGACAGGAAAAAAGGAAACATAAACATGGTTATAACCTGACGCTAAAACTAAAAACAAGGAAATGTACCTCTTTCTTCAGAATTAAAACTAAAATCTTAAATAAAACACAAAACTTGATGATCTTTGGTTTTTTTTTTCCATTTTTGTTTATATTTAACATGGGTTTCAAACAATTGTGATGATCAGTCAAGTGTTGATTTATATTTCTATTTGTTAGAATGGGGATTAAATCTTCAGCATGTAAAGCAATTATGAGATCAAGAAATTAAAGAAGACCATTTGGGCAGGGGCTCAGTTCTTGTTGTTCCCCCTTGGAAATCAACATATTTGACCATCAAGATCTTCAGCAACTTTAAAAGCAGAAATCATCCATCCTTACTACTGAGGTCATGTAGAGAACCCTCAAATACCAAATCACCCACTTATATCACTGAGTGTTTGGTGGGACAAATAATGTCAATACCATTGAACAAGATGATATTAGGCAAAACTCAGGTGTTCCTGATACCAGGAAGGAGTCTGCCTGGTTTCTGTCTAGCCGTGGATTAGCTAGAGAAATTCAAATCTCGCTGTTGCACTTTCAGCCTCGTGCCCCGTTAAAAAGGATATTTACAGTTTGGATATCATTGCACAGATCTTCAAAATCATAGCTCTGTCCTGTGATACATTAGAGGGTGGAATTGACCACCTGACCTTGGTTTCCTTTTATATTTGTATTGTACTTTTTCTAAAATGTTTGATCTTGCCCTTAAGAGTATTCTAAGACATGGAGTTTGAATACTTTGCATATGGAAAATATTGATCTAAATTAAAACTTTGTCATCATAGATTTGCATTGGTCCAGTGAAAAACGTGATACAGTTGTGAACTTATTTACTTTGTTTTTTAAACCAACACAAAACTATATTGGAATCAGATACTTGTAAAATGTATTCATGCTGTTAAGGGGCCAACTGGGCCTTGGGAAAATCGGTGAAATTGTTGCCTCTTTCTGTAAAATGAGTTAGCCCTACCTCTGTGATATTAAGATTTAAGAAACTAGCACTTGAAAATACAGACTGCTAAATGTGCTGCCACATGTTTTCTGGGCTTCCAGAAAACAGGCTTTCAGCACCAATGTTTGTTTTGACACTGAAAACTATAATGCATGTAAGATGAACAAGCTTTTAAAAGTCTAATTCAGGGCATCCCGTGGTGGTTCAGTGCTAGTCAGATTTGTATCCTAATTCAGATGAAGTTCTTTCAGTTATCCAAGTCAGAGCTGAGTTTGTTAGTACAGACACTTAAATATTGAATCACTGAAGCCATCATTGTCTGTCTACTCGTATACTTTTGTCCAGTTCTGGTGGCATGGGGTACTAAACAAATAAGAGTAAAGAATGTTTTCTTCACCCACATGAGGCAGTCAAGAGAAATTGTCTTCAAAGGGATAACTCCTTGGAAAGTTTTGTCAATGTTTCCTAAGTTGATGGGTGTGATTTGAAATAGCTCTTGTATGTATCTGTGATTTAATCATTCATCCACTAATGCAGATGGCCAGCTTGCCTGTAACTTTGTAGGTTGCCTGGGGGATTGAGAGAAGTCATTTGCCCAGGGTCACCCATCTTATTTGTGCAGAGGCATGTGGAGGACTGAAACCCAGGTCATTTCTACACCATGACTTCTAGAAGGGACTGTTTGAGGTGATTATTTCTGGCAATCAATAGTGACCTACATCATTTGGAATTTTATTTCTAAGAACTATGAGGAAAATCATTGTCCTAAATATCCAGGACAGTCCTAATGATAACTAGACCTTAACCTTTTTTGGATTATAGGTCCAGAGGTGGATATTTTCACAAGAATCTGTATTGGTAAATGGTTTGTTAGCAGGCATATGTTTGTACTCTTAACCCTTTCTACCTCCTACAGCTTCCTTTACCAATAATCTATAAAGGGAAGCAGGTGCATGATGAATAGAGATTTTTGTGGGCTGAATAATTTTAAAAACTATTTCCAAGACTTAGCTAATAGATGCTCAAATTATAGACATTTTAAAAGAAACAACTAGCCACTTATTAATTTTGTTCAAATAAAAATCGATAACGTGTTTTTAAAAATTCCTTGTACATCTGGTCCTATAGTGTGTCTTTTCTATCTTGAATTTTTCTGTACCACTAACATCTGCTTTTAGTCACTCTCCACAGTAAAAGGTAGATGACGGAAATGGTTGGGAATGATTGAATGGTAGAGTTCCAATTAATTGATCTTTCAACTCCATCTCTTGCCTATATGATTTTTATTATTTGTTCTCCCTCTCCTCCCTTTTTTGAAATGCACTAAATGCTTTCTGGTTTCTTTTCATACAGTCATCATAAGGCAAGTATAAAACAAACTAATCTCATAAGCATTTCCAACTAAAAAGTGATGGAGACTGAGAATGGAATGATTTCCTTTTTTACCCAGAAATCATACCATGAGTCAAAGGAGAATGGGAAATAGATTTCTTGACAATGCCTAGTATAGTCTACTGAGTAGGTTTTTGCATTGGCCTAGATGTCCCTTTTTAAAAAGCCTGTCCCTTTTTTCTCTTCCATTAATTTTTCTTTTCTTTTTCATGACTACATTGAGACTTAACTGTGTAGGAAGAGTTAAGTCTGAAATGGAGCTTTTAAGTGACAGATTATTGGTATGGATGGGCATTGCAGATTAATGTTTGTTTCTTTGTTTCTTCTACCCCAAAGAATATCAGCTATCAGTTTGGCTTGTATAATATCAAACTCTAGCTGAAAACAATATGTACTCATTAACGTTCTTTGGGTTTTTCTTAGCTAATATTCACTGAATACAAATTATTTTCAGCAGATTGTAGTGGAACTATAGAATGCCAAGGGAAATAGATATGGTTCCTGCCTTCAAATCAATGATCCAATTAATAGTTTGTATTTGTAAAGACTCTTTAAGGTTTGCAAAGCAGTTTGCATATATTATTTAATGATCCAAAGGGAGACAGAATACTTGAAAAGTACCTCACACAAAGCAGAAAACAAATAGTTGTAACTAAGCATGTGAGAGGATTTTTCAAGATTTCCCACCTGCATGTGAAAAATGGCTGTCTCAGACTTTGTAAAGATTATTTCTTTGATGAGTGCATGCAGATGATATGTGCACACATCCTGCTAGATGAATGAGAAAGATCATGTGCCTTTATAACTAATATCACAAAGCAAAAAAGTTGTGTTCTTGCACTATTATCTACCTTTCAGCCATATTTATTGCCTCTAAAGATTGATTTAGGTATGTACTCTGGTCTGACAGCATTAAAAAAAATTTATTATGAATTAAACAACAAATGAACATTTTTAATATAAGAAGAACCAAACAATTACAATTTAGAAAACTGAACTGTTATATACAGTTTTTTAAGTGAACATTAAATTTAACGTGATAGTAACAAAATTGCCCCTTTTTTGTGTCCCCCTTCCGAACTTCATTGTATTTTTTAAAAATTGCGTTAACTCTCTTTTAAAGTATCACCATCACTATTACTGGCACTCTAGTACTAGCAAACTCTTCCTTCGCTTCCCTCCTGCACGCTCTCCCCCCGACCCCAGCCTTTTCAATAGAAGTCTTCCCTCCAGTAACTCCACTGTCATGTTCTGTTAAAGTTAAGGTCATTTTGGTACATAAGGATAGTGTGCCTTGATATTTAGGTCACTTTCAGCACTTACATTCTGCCCAATAGTGCAAAAACAGTGACTTGCTTTTGAAAGCAATAGATAATTTTTTATCATTGGCAATTTTTACTCATCATCCTTGAAGAGGAACCAAGTGTTCAGTCAATGACTAAAGCCTGGTTTAGTGCTAATTTTGGGAAAAAGCAGTGAAGAACGTCTAGAAAATGTTCACCAAGTTCCAAGCAGCATCCAAACAAATGTGTTATGCCTTGGTGCTTGCCATGAAAATTATCAAGATCTGGACACCATAGTCAGAGTTTCCTTGCAACGTCTGCCTGTGCCAGTGACTCTCGGATGGACCTATTGCTAGCCATCTACAAAATCAGCGGCTCAGTCTGCTGGTGGGGATTTTCTACGTTGATTATATCCAGAAGGATTCATTGTTAGGAGGTTTTGTGAAGAATATAAATTTTGAGCAATTTTGGCCGTTTAAGTTGAGGGAGTAAATGTAAAGGTGCTGATATAGACTGGAACAAGGTGGAGGTGGAGAACCAAATTTGGCAAGAGAGATGAGCTGTTGAGCACTAGCTATGGAGGCAGTTGTAGTGGTGAGGCACGTCTGGCAGAAGTGCTTGAAGCATAGGCAGTGACGTAGGAGTTGTAGTCTGAATCAAAAAGAGATTGGTAGCATGATCAAAACTGCTTTTTAAAAGGTTGCTGTTACATGTAAGAAGAATAAGAATCAAGAATAGCACGGAGGTAAGTATCCTCACTAGGAGGGTATGGGAACAATTCAAGTGATATGTTGACCAATCTCCATTGTGGCCATAGAAGGAATGGATTTAAGAGAGCTCGTGGAGGCAACAAACAAGATTTTTTGATGAACTAGGTGGAAGTTGGGTTTTTTTTTTTAATTACTTCATGGCTTTGAACCTGAAAAATCAAGACTAGTGGAAGTACTTATGAGAAGGGGTAATGGATTTCCTTAGGAAAGGGAAAAACACTCTCATGTTTTACAGGACATTCACATGAAAGGTGATCTGTTCTGTGGATGGGAAATAAAGAAGTGGAGATACTGGGAGATGAGGGCTGGAGTTAAAGGTTTGGGAGCCTCCCTGCCTAAAGGAGGTAATTGAAGCCACATGAGTACAGAAGGAAGTACGTTTAGATGACATGAACACTGGACCCAAGACAGCCTTGATGAACAGTTCATGCCGGTGAGGGGGGGAGAGGGAGGCAAAAGGAGGAAGTAAAGGAAACTACAGTTACTATTAAGGAAGAAAAGGTTACTAATGATAAAGAAGAGGTACAGTTAATGGTTAATGATAATAGAGAACTGAAAAAAATATTGAGATTTCATCGAGGAGAAATCTGACCTTAAGGTAATTTCAATGCAGTATTAGAAATAGGAACCAGATGGAAGGAAAGTACTGTAAGATCTTTGAGGGCAACAACTGATTTTTTTTTTTTGTCTTCTCTGTGCTCCTAGTAGACCCTTTGTAAATATTTTGTCAAATTGATGATGAGGAAATGGAGGCTACTACAGATTTTATCCATTTAAAAAGTTGGTCCACCAAAAAAAGGGGAGGGAAATACTAGCTGGAAAAAGGGGTTAGGCTCATGATGACTTTGCCATTACTTTGAGACCTGGGTGGATTTTTAAAGGTAGAAGAAAAAAAAATGATAAGGATGAAATCAGTGTGAGAAGTAAGGTATTTCAAGTGCATTGGGCTTATAAGAGAGGTTGCTCATGGATTGCGAACTATAGATAGATCACCTCAGAGTTAACCAATTAAAGCTTTCTTTCTGTTTGGCATAGCAATAGTAGTACCAGAACTTTGTTAAGGATGAACTTGACTGTTAATCTTTTCTGCTGATAAATTATATTGCCTCTACCAAGCAAAATTACCAAATTTTTTTTCTTTAAACTTTTCTGTTTAGTTGTGCCAAATTTTTTTTTTCTGCTGCATCTATGTATGTATGTGTGTTGGGAGGAAGGACGGGTTGTGTTTTTGGTGTTTGCAGTAAATTTTTCAGATTTTTTTTTTCTAAATGGTGGTAAAGAATTCCTTCTCTCATAGTCCCATTCTCTTCATGGCACTTCTGTTCTCCTGTAGTTAAAAAAAATTGGGAGGAATATTAACATCTCTTCTTCTTTAAATAAGTCTTATCCCATTCCATTTTGGAATTAAGAGCTAAAAAGGACTACACTGGGGATTAAAGAAATCCTTAGTTGTGCTCATTTTAAGAATGACTGTGATTCCAAGTAGGGATGGGAGTGGGACATGTATGTGTTACTGTATTTTACCCACAAGTTGCAAGTGTGTCTAACAGTCTTTTGGCAAACATGATGATACTAGGTACCTCAGAAGAATAGTCTTGGACTTAAAAACAAGTAATAAGATATATAGATATACTTTGATTTTTAGAAGGAATGCATTCCTAAGTGGTTATAAAATTAAGTACTGTACAGGGGCACATGCATTTGTGTGGTGCAACCATGGGTATGCTGGTAAAGATTTAACTGGCTCACTTAAAAAACAACACCATAATATACTTTTAAGTTTAATCTCCATCATTCACATTTTCTCCATCACTCTCTTAGGTCTGGAGCCTAGAATCTCAATCAACAAAACAATATATTAAATTTGTAGCATTTGCTGATTTCTGAACTGTAAATGCTTACGCTAATAATTTAACAGTTGGCCGCTGATTTGCAGCTGGCTCCAGCACATCACTAAATGTACCAGATAAGTGGCACCCTAGCGGTACCTGAAACCCTTCCAAGGGATATGAGAAGTCAGAACTTTTCCTAATAATACTAAGATGTTTTAATTTCTAATATCGTGAATATTGGTAGCTATAAAACACATGAAAGCTTTGTGGGGTGAGAGTTCTCAATAATTGATGAATGTAAAGGGGTCCTGAGAATCAAAAGTTTGAGAACTTAGGGTATAGTGACAATGGTAGTTTTGAATAAGTGAAGAAATCAAGCATAGTATGTAGTAAAAAGCGCTGAACTTGAAACTGAATTTGGGGCTTACCTCTGCCACTGACAGTGTAGGATCTTGGGTAATTTCTTTTAACTTCTTTGGCCTCGATTTCCTTTGAATAGAATGAAGAGATTGAACCAGATCTCCCACATTCTTTCCAGCTCTAATATTTTATGATACTGTGATCCCTAAGTATTTATAATAAAAGTGCTAAGGAAGGTGGTGGTGGGGAACCTGGGGTTATAGCTTTAGAGCTAAAAGGGGCAATCTAATCCAAACTCCTCATTTAGAGGCCTATAGAGGTTAAGTGACTTGCCCAAGGTCTTACAGGCAGACATGAGATTTGATTCCAGAGCCTCTGACTTAAAATCCAACATACCTCCAACTGTACCATATTATCTCTTGTGGTTTCACCTGGAAAGAGAGAACTGGCCTACTCCCCCCCGCCCCCACATCAACTCATACACATTTCCTCCTTCGTTCTTTTTCCTCCCTTATGCTGCCAGTCCTTAATACATCTGACTTCACAAGTGCCTGCTATCTTCCAAGAACTTCATACTCTAAAATTACTCTCCTTTTTTCATCCCAATCAGAATTCCCATTTATTGAGTTTGTTCTAGCTAAATGTTCTGGTTAAAGTAATTGAGACTACAGTATGAATTACTAAAAGTTATTACTCTCTTGAGTATTTTCATCCCCAAATAAAGTTACTAGCTCAAATGAATCCCTAATTAATAGGCTTTGTGAAGAGAGACATTTTTAAACTAGGATAGGGATCTGATACTCCTTGCCAATACCCTTATATGAGTATATCTCCTAACTCCACATGCATATGCACATGTACCTTAACCATTCTGCCAAACCAAAACACGTGAAGTAAACGTTTAGAAACATTCATTCTCACAGCCAGTCAGTCACCAGCATGCCTCACTTTTACAAGAATCTCAGAGGGTGGTATCTAAGCAGTGGTTGAATGATTGGCAATTATAGTCTAGGGAGAATGGAGAGGTTGGATTAGATTTTTGCTGAAGCTGCTTCCAAACTGGAAATTTTAGGATTCTCTCTTCTCTGGCAGCAACAGCAACTGGGATTCCAAAGTGCCAAATAGGAAGGAACCTTTGAAATCATCTAGTCCAGTCCCTTTCTTTGTTTTACGAGATACCTGTGACTGACTTGCTCAAGGTCACATATATATTTAACAGTAGGGTAAATATTACAGTGCAGATCTTTTGGTCACCACTCCAGTGCTCTTTTTTTTTTTCCTTTTTTTCCCAAATTTTCTTTTCTTAAAATTGTGAACTTGATAAAACATAATTAATATAAATATTTTCCATATACAAAGGCCAGCTGTGTAGGGTAAAAGTTACCACCAGTCTTAGATGATCTACAAAAAACGAATACTTCTGAGGTTAAGTTCTCAAGGAAAAGTTGGGCAAGGCCAGGTTGTGTGCAGTAAGGACCACATGTAAACACTGGTAAAAGATGCAAGGGGGCCATTGAGGTATTCTTGGTCGATGAGTCCCTATTCCTGTGTCCTTTGGCTCACCTTCGTTTCAAGCATTTATATTTCTTCTATGTAGGGCTTTTAATTCATGTTAGATTATTGATTTCCACTTGAAGTTTCTCCATCTAAAACTTGAACTGGTTTAAGAATACTATCTCAATGTGTCTATAGTCTATTTATGACACCTGGGGTGAAATATTATCTATGCCACCTTTCTGTGTCTTAACAGAAGTGAAATACTTCTTTCTGTCTCTCTGCACACTAATTCTTCCCCAAATCCATGCCTGTATTGCTATCATTAATCACACAACAAGGAAAACTCTGGGCAAGTAGAATAATGAATGGGAGTTGCTGCCACTCCTGTAACAGAAGGGAAGAGGAAGGAATGATCTCTGGGGGCTGCTTTGATTAGCACGCCAACCATGGCCCTCCTCATTTGTTTTATCAACTCCACTTCTATCCACCAATCACAGCATCACACTGACTGTGTGAAGCAACAGCAACAATGGTAAAGCAACAGTGTCACAAGGGGAGAACTGGGAGACTCATGCCAGGTTATTCAGTGTTGCTCAACCCTTGTTTGTACAGGTGATCTCAAGATGGAGGCCCATCTTCTTAACTTGAACTTAACCTCTCAGTTACCCTTCTGCCAGCTCCTCCCAGAAATCTTCATAAAACAGTCCTAGGAGTCTCTGTATGAAAATGTCACTTAACTAGTGGTCTTTGAATAACATCTGCTTGAGTATGTCTCATCTCCATGGCAATGCAGGGTTAGAAGATATTAAATTTAATGTACTAGTACCAACATTGTCCTGTTTATCTGTGTCCCCATCTGCACTTCCTTCTGTTTTCTTCTGTGTGTTTTTAAAATGCTTCATGAACAATCTTTTCTCCTCACCTCCCTGTTTTGGCAATAATCTCACTCCCCACCACAACTCCACCCACCCCCAAATAAGTAAAAGCTTTCCCTTTTAACAACCAAGTATAGACAAGCAAAACAGATTGACACTTTAGTCGTGTCTAAAAGTGTATGCCTTATTCTGAGTCTACAGTCCATTGCCTCTTTGCCAAGTAGTGGGAAGCATATTTCATCCTTAGTCTTCTGTAGCCATGATTGCTCATTGAATTGATCAGTTCTTGTTTTTCAAAGTTGTTTTCTTTTACAGTGTTGAAGTCATTGTATACATTGTTCTGGTTCTACTTGCTTTACTCTTCATCAGTTTATACCAGTCTTCCCAGATATCCCTGTGTCTATCCCTTCTGTCATTTCTTATGGCTCAATAACATTATATTACTTATGGTCTTTCTACCACATGGTGCTTCTCTCCCATCAAGATCTTATTTCCCTCCCTCCACCTATAAAGCAGCGAGTAAAGGCTATTTGTATCCTCATGTTAATGTCAGTTTCCTCCAAGGCACTTTTTCAAGAATAAAGTGATATCACATCAAAGATGAATGAGAGAATATCCCTGTAGGGTGACTATTTTAGGGATAAGAAAAATGAGAGATAGAAGATGAAGTGATTTTCCTGGAGTCATAGGAAGATAAGAGCAGAACCAGGATTGAAACTCAGGTCCCAGAACGACCAGAATAATATACTGTCTGATCAACTTTCAGGAAAACTTTTTTTTTTAAACCAGTGGAAGAATATGTCATGTACCAGCTTCAAGATGAATAATTAAATAACATTAAAGAACAAAGTATAAGTTAAATCTCATTGCAACCTTATGATTGCAATGAAAGGTTATGTGTACCTTAAAATTTCTAGGCCCTAATTTTTGCTTTGAACAGTATTTGAAAGAGCAAAAGGATTTAGAAAGGGCATAATGTCATCATGGAATTTGACCTATGGAATAAATCATTTCACTTTTTTCCTCTGTTTCTGGGACAAGGAGGATGCTTGCTACTCTTGTCTTTTAAGAATAGAATCTTTTTTAATCTTTTCTTGTCTTTTAAGAAGAGAATCAAAAGAACCAATTTTTCTAAAGTCCAGTTAAGCCTTAAGTTTACTTAAATGAGTACCTAATTCCATGCTGCTTTCCAGACCCAGAGAAGAAGCTGAGTGAGAATAAGGTGCTGCTGATGTGGGCAAACCACAATAAAAAGTGTAAAGTTTGGGCCAAGTGTGGAGATGATGAAATCTGGCTCCCAGCTCTCCTAGTGAAGCAGGAAATTGCCAGTAATGACATTGAATAGCCATTGATTACACATCCCACAAAAATCCATTCCCAGTCCTCATACATTTTCCTTTCCTCCATTTTCATTCCCTGATTAGCCTAGTCTTGGTATTCTCTTAAGCAGCAGCTGTGAAAGCTAGGCCATGAGGTTGACATGTAAGGTTTAGACTAGCTGGCTCATTGTTTGCATTTTGAGTGCAAGCTGAAACATCTTTCATAGTAATTTTAAAAATAAAACTGCAGTGTGTTGCAGTGTTCCCTTGTCTTCCCAGTTAAATGATTTTCCCAGGTCATTTCAGGGAAATTTCAAACTGGGTTGGTTCCAGACTGATCTCTGAGACTGAAAGGTGAAGCAAAATGCCAGGGCTAATGGCCAATTCATTCCTTCAGGTATCAGCCGGGAAGTATTTGTACAAACGTTTACAAAATTGTGGAACACAGTGTAGTGTGTTCAGCTTTGCTGAGTGTGGAACTACCAGTTTTCCTACCAAAGGACCATCTGCCTGAGGGCTTTCCAAAATGTTAATTCTGATATTAAACACTTTTCTGAAGGAAAGTCAGCTTTCTGGAATCTGGATAACATCAAACTACTGAGATGAAAACTTCAAATAATTACCCTTAAAGCAAATTTTGTAAAAGCTTTTGTTCTTGGCTGTGACTAGCAGCTCTGGTATTTCCCTGAAATTTCCTTTTAGCAACACCTCTTTTAGGATTAGAATCTCTTATATAGGAATCAAGAGCATAGATTTTGAGCCAAAAATGAACCTCAGAGCCTATCAAATCCAACCCCTAATTTTACAGATGAGGAAACTGAGGCCCTCAGAAGTTGTGACTTGTGTAAGGTCACACAACACAGATAGAAAGGAGAGTTTGAACTTCGGTACTCCCAAACCAATGATTTTTCCTTTCTATGACAATAATCACCTATCAGGTTATGAACTACTGGGGGCAGTGGGTGGGGCAGTGGGTAGCGTAGTGGATAGAGCACCGGCCCTGGAGACAAGAGGACCTGAGTCAAATCCGGCCTCAGACCAAACACTTCACACTTACTAGCTGTGTGACTCTGGGCAGGTCACAACCCCAATTGCCTCGCAAAAAAATAAAATAAACAAAAAAAACCAGATTATAAACTACTTACAGCAGGGACTGTTGTGCTTTTCATCTTTATATTTCCAGTACTAGCATAGTGATATATAGGCACTTAAATTGTTGTTGAAATGAAGGAAATTGAAATTACATCCACCCCTTTCTCTGTGCTCCCACCATCCCCACCTAGTTGATATTACTTGCTTCTCATCACTTTTGACCTGGACAATTGCAGGCACTTCTTAACTTGTCTGCCTGGTTCAAGCCTTTTCCCATTCAAATCCATTTTCCACACAGCTGCCAAGATGACGCTACTAAGGCACAGATCTCACCATGTTACTCCAG